CCAAAGTCAATCATATACAATTCTTAATATTTTTCCTGTTACAAGGGAATGCATTTTAACAGTATTGCAAGGAATTTTTTTTTTACCATTTTTATATTTTTGTGCAGCTGGGTGTTACACCATATAAACAGGTGCCCAACCAAGGGGTTAATGCAAACGATTAATCCCTTTATGTATATGCTGTCGTCAATAAAATTTTATGTGCAGAATGCAATTATTGTCTGTCAATTATTATCCCCCTTTTCTCTTCCTCACTGGCTGTAGCGCTAAAGTGCAGATGCAAAGCATTACAAGATTTTCTGAACGTGACGTTCATGAACACATCAAATCGCTTGTATTAAAATTAAATAAATCCAGCCAAACTACAAGTTTTGCACAAGTCGTGTTATTCCAGATGAAAACTGAACTATAATACATGTATCACTATCCTGTCCTCCTACTCATCCACCCGCTCAAAAATACACATTCATATTTAATGCAAATTTAGAATTTTTTAATTTCATAACACTTATGCATTTAAAAACATTTGAAGGTGGAAGATTTTAAGTGCTTACATGATAACTCGCTTTCTTGGAGTCTTGTGATCCTTAGTTTCCATGGTTGCCGAATAACAAGTTAATGACTAACAACCTTTTAACAAATGTGCTAAGATGCTCTTCATAACCAATGCATTCCCTTAGTATTCTAGAATTACATAGAACAAAATACTAACTCGTACAATCTACATATGTAAAACACTTTAAAATAAATAGTAAAAATGCCTTTACATATACAAGTTCATTATGGTCATTAATGTCTTAAATATTTGGTTCTAAATCAGTTATTATTATTGGTCATTATACAGAAATTGATAATATCAACAGCAGAAGACATACAATTAAACTACAGCTGAATATTTGGTTAATGTTATTTCTAAAATTAATTCAGTAATGCTCGTAACAAATTTTTACCCAAATATAATTTGCCATATCCTTTGCTACAGAAGGAAAACAAATATAGAAACCAACATTGAATAAAATAAAATAAAATTATAAATCTTGTACAAATAACATCATAGTCAAGGTATGTATCAAGCAGTTTAAATTGCATATCACAGGAAAAAATGATAATGAACACAAATTGAGTGCAAGACATTCACAAGGTACTTCAGCCTTCAGTGAATGGTTTGGTCACCACACATTCATTAGTCTTAATATATTTAGTGGTCTCAAAACAATTAAGTCCTCTACCAAGTTAAATGTTACTCTTCTGGGGTTAACTTAACCCAAATCACTGAGAATTGGTATTGCTCATTTCTCTATTTTAAAATAAGGACTCTTAATAAGAAATATCACATTGTATTGGAATTGTTATAAACTAACAAAAAACAAAATATAATTTTATATAACAGTGCATCAACAATTCTTAATTTATAAGCAATATTAATAAATTTACTGTTAAGTTAAAACTTACTCTCTGAACATCTTGCTGCAAAGTTCTGTATTTTTCTTATTCATTACAAAAGTTTTTCCTGGCACAGGAGATAATTTTCTCTTATACTTTTTGAGTACATAATTACTCCCGGGGATTCGTTCCAGTTTGCGTACATTGTTTACCACCTCGAAGTTGGGCTGCACCTGAGGACAATGTTTGCAGATACTTAAAAATTTGCAGAATAAAAAAAAATTCAATAAATGCTATTGTGTGTAATCCCAAAATCTAGACCCAATACTGTATAGCGATTTAGCAAAAATCCAGACCAAATTGAATGGTGACTTGAATCCAGGCCAAATTTGTGCACTAGATTTTTCCTCTGAATTTAGATTTTTAACAAAAACCCAGCATTGACTAATGTATTAATAACCCCTTAATGTATTTTGGAAACTAATAAACACAAGAACATAACATTTTCAAGTTATTGATTCCAATGTTGTAAATAAATATTTAATACTTCATTTATCACTCCCACCTGGGAAATATTCTTCATATCTGATAAATTTGGTTCCATACTGGAATTAAGAAAACCAAAACCAAGCTAGCCACCTAAGGAGCTACTGAATGTATATAATAATCCCTTATCAACTTACCATCTGCAGGCACATGGCAACCTCATCATAAAACTCAAGGTCAGAAATAAAGTTGAGCTGCGTTTGTGCTCCGGTGTTGAACTCTATTAGTGTCTGTACAAATGAAGTATCAACACGTGCTACTCCCTGTATTACCATGGCTGCTCTGAAAGGTAAAAATAGTATTTTAGTCTATAAAATACTAACAAAATTCAAAATGCAAAATAAGGAATAATAGTTTGCCATCACACTGTACATAGTAATAATATTTTGTTGCTAATCTGTATAACAAGGGATGGCTTATGCTAGGAACAATATTTTTGCTGTTTCCCCAAAAACCAGCACTGAATGTAATAAAACGCCATTTATTGGGTGTGACCCGGAGGCTCCCCAGAGCTTACTAGGCTGATATGCTAATGTCAGACTTTGGCATCAGTCCTGTATATGGAGTTCTGTGGGCCTACCGGGGACCACAAGCCAGAACCTGGCCCCCGTCAGAGAGGCATGAGGAGCAATGGCCTATAGAAACCCCCATGTGGTCGGAGGCATTCTATGTCTGCCATCGACCAGGTCTGGCACCCAGAAAGGTAAGCATCCAAAAACAAACCCCTATTCTGGTGAAAATATTGCTACCAAAAGCTGAACAAGTGGATAGAACTCCCCTAAAAAGAAACAGGCAAACAAGCATGACGTCACATGTCGCCGTGCCACTGTCTGCGTAGTTTCCCCCTCCCCAGGAGGGGGAACGGGAGCCCCAGACCTCTCACGCCGGCTAGCCACCTATCAGTTCTAAGGCCGGAAGTCAAAACACGCGAAAAAACGCTGACCGGAGGGAGGGAGGGATGCCTGGCGAGCTTCCGCATCACACCCAGAAAATGGCATTTCATTACATACAACGCTGGTTTTGCAAGAGCAGCGAACTTCCGAACATCATGGGCACAGGAATAGACTGCAGGATGGCTAGCCTTAATAACTCTGCGGAAGACCTGGGAGACCTGCACCCGTGAACAGAGAAGAAGAGAAACCAGATCAATCCAAAGCGCGTCCCCGGATACAGAAGCCATGGCGTGCAAATAACGGCAAAGGGCCACAACCAGACACAAAACATGATGCACCCCCAGCCTAACCAACCAAGCAGCAACAACCCAGGGACCCCTATGGAAAGCAGCAGTCTCATTCTTCGCCAGAAAAGGAGGAGACAGTTGCAGACAAACAAAACCATCACGAAAACCGAAAGAGCAGAAACCCGAGCCAGAGGAGAGCTTGAAGCTCCCCGACCCGAGCCCCAGAGGTCAATGCCAACAGAAAAAGAGCCTTGGAGAAACAATCCTGAAACGAAGGGGCCACAACAAACCGAGGAGAAGAAAGAAAAGAGAGCACTCTGTCCAACGACCAGGACGGCTCAGCCAGCGCACGAGCAGATCGAAGGTGAAGCAACGCACGAGACAGCTTGCGAAACGGCGCAGAAGTAACATCAAGACCGAAAGCAAGCTGAAGCGGCTCTGCCAGCACCACATGATACGAGGTGACTGATAGGCATAAGATGACGGTCCTGAAACAACCAAGAGAGAAAGAACAACATGACCCTAACAGAAAGCAAAGTACAATGACGAAGACGTAAAAAGAACCGGAAGGATCGCCAGGAAACTTCATACTGCCGCCAAGATGAAGCTCACAGGTGGGACACTAACAAGAAAGTCATTTGATCACCATAATGATGATGATAAACTCGAGTTAAAAAGACTATACGTGAAGACTCGAGGAGGAGATCGAACCATCCACGTGACGTTCTGGTCCGATATGCTGGAAGAGGCAGAGCTGCGGGAAAACCTCAGGGTTCAGACACCGAACAGCGCCTGAAACCAAGGTTGGGCCGGCCACCATGGGGCCCACGAGGACTACTGTCCCCTGCTAAGTCTCCAAGCGAGTCAGGAGTTGGAGCAACAGCTGAACCGGGGTAAAGAGGTACAGGAACCCCCACCTCGACCAGTCCTGCCGAAACGCATCGACCCTAACGGCCTTGCAGTCGGGAAAGGGCGCCACATACACGGGAAGGCACCTCAACCAAGCCGACGCGAAGAGGTCCACCTCGGGGCACCCGAACGTCCGGCAAAGCCAAAGGAAGGAGTCGGCGTCGACCATCCATTCCGTGGAAAGGGGAACGAAACAAGACAGGCCGTCGGCCAGGACGTTGGACACTCCCCGCACGTTAACAGCCAGGTGAGCTAAACTCCAAGAACTCGGCAGACGAGTCACCTGAAGCGACCAGCGCCAAAGAGCCAAGAACTCCATCGACCCCCCCCTCCCCACTCCCGGTTCAGGCAATGAACCACCTGGAAGCAGTCTGAATTGAGGCGGATCATCGATCCGCGGGCGACCCGAACCCACATCGCCGCGAACTCTCACACCGTGCTGTGGGCCCAACGGAAGGATGGACCCCATCACCCCTAGCCGGCCTGGTGAGCACTGGTCACAAAGCCCCAGCCGAGAGACGCCGCGTCCGTGAACACATCAAGCGAGGGCTCGGGCAGGCGCCAAGGCACTGAACCCCAAAAAACCCGAAGAGGAAGCTGGCGACACAGCAGCCGACGCAAGGCCACCGGGGTCCGAACCCAGCGATCAAGAGAGGGGCGGAAGGGACGTCCCCGAAGGAACCAGAACAGCCGATGAAGCCAAACCCGACCCGGCAGGAAGACCATCACGAAGTTCAAGCTCAAGGTAACCAGCACCAAAACAGGACTGTGCGGACCTGCGGTTCATTCTGGACTTGTCCCATCTGAACCCTTGGGTTCATTGCCTCTCCTTTCGGATGAAGCACCTCAAGGTAACCTCCCACACAGACCCTCGAGCACCTGATGGGTGACCCGGAAGTTCCCCAGAAGCAGGCGCACGCGGGACCGCAGCCGCAGAAGAGACTCCGGAGGAAGAGACAAGGAAGCGGTCTGAGAGTACCACACAAGACCCAGCCATGTCCAAACCTGGGAGGGTACCAAATGGGACTTCCTCCAATTCACCAAGAACCCGAACCCGGCAAGATGAGAAAGAACCAAATCCCTGGCTAGCAGACAAGATGATCGGCTGGGAGCCTAAACTAGCCAGTCGTCGAGGTAGGCCAACACCCGAACACCTAAGAGATGCAGACGGGCCTCCACGACCCCAGGTAAGACGTGTGAACACGCGAGGTGCCAGGTTCAATCCGAACGGGAGACAACAAAAGCAGTAACCCTGACACTCCCACAACAAAACCGAAGCAGTCCCTGAAACCCGGGTGAATCGGGACGTGCCAATAAGCGTCCCGAAGGTCCAGGGACACCATCCAAGAGCCGAACCTGGGACAGCGTAGTCATCCGAAAGGAGGGGCAATGAACCCAAGGGTTCAGATGGGACAAGTCCAGAATGAACTGCAGGTCCGCACAGTCCCATTTTGGTACTGGGAACAGACGGGAAACCCATCTGAGGGATGTCGTCATTTCGACCATACCAAAGCGCACCTACTCCAAGACAGCCAGACTGAGTGCAGGGGGAAAAGAGGCCTGCCCCGCCAACCCCGAACCCCCTTGAACGAGGAGGGGCTACCCAACGCCACCGCAGGCCGAAGGAAATGACTCAAAACGCCCACAAATTGTGGGACCAGGCATGAGCGAACAGCGCCAGCCTTCTCCCCCCCTATCACCCAGCCAATGAGGCGAACCGCGAAAGGGCCGGAGCCCCTTACGAGACCCAGAACCTCGCACAGAACAAACACTGCGCCGACCAGACAAAGGCGGGACCGAAGGCGGGACTGGACCTGAACCTGGCACCAGTGGCCTACCACGACGTGTGGAACCCCGATCTCTGGCACGACCCCCCCCCCCCCATGGGAAGCCTCCCCTGGAAAGCCCCCCCCCCTGGGGTCATGGAGCTGTCCAAAGACAGCTCCAGGAGAGAAATGAAACACAAAGCCGAAGCCAAAAGGCAACGGGCGCGCAAGTCCTCAGCAACCTACGTCGCCGAAAGGGACAGAACCTACACATGGAGCTGCAGAACGCCAACATCCTGGGAAAGGGCCGGGGCAAACAAACACTCATCGAGGTGCTCAAGATCGCCCCCCCAGGTAAACCTGAACCACCATCGAAGCCTGGCACCACTCAAGCGAGCGGGTACGACAGAAGGAATGCCAAGCCTCCAAGTCAAACACAGGACAGTCCGCCAGCCAGGACGACTCTGGAACCTCATAACGGACCCAGAAAGGGAACGAAAACCCAAACCTGAATGAAGACAAATCCATAAGCGAGGCATAATCCGGGTCGCACAGGAAGTATGCTGCAAGGGGCCACCCGCACCACAGATGGTAGGATATGGTAAGCCGAAAACCTCCAGAAGGACGGAACCGACGCACCAGGAGGAGGAATGGGGAGGGGGGGGGGGTAGGGGTTGACACGGAACCGAATCTGGGGAGGGGCAGACACTAAATCCAACTCGTACGCAGAGGGGAGGATAAGAAAACTCCACTCTTTGTAACAGCAAGACCCGCTCAAAGGGTAGAAAAACCCAGGCGGGGGTCCAGCGGGGCCCAAGGACCCCAAGTCAGCCCCTTCCTAGCGCCAAGATCCACTTCCATGGGACCCAGGGCCGAGTCATCCCCCAACGCACCGGCCTCAAGAAAAAGCCGGTGCAGCCGCTTTTTAGGGGGGGTTCTATCCACTTGTTCGGCTTTTGGTAGCAATATTTTCACCAGAATAGGGGTTTGTTTTGGGATGCTTACCTTTCTGGGTGCCAAACCCGGTCGATGGCAGACATAGAATGCTTCCAACCACACGGGGGTTTCTATAGGCCATTGCTCCCCATGCCTCTTTGAGGGGGGCCAGGTTCTAGCTCGTGGTCCCCGGTAGACCCCACAGAACTCCCTACATATGACTGATGCCAAAGTGATGCCAAAGTCTGACATTAGCATATCAGCCTAGTAAGCTCCGGGGAGTCAACGGGGCTCCCCCCAGAAAATATAATTTCCTGTATATAATTCATGTCTTACCCAGGCTACCAATTCACTAAAAGCAATAGGACTACAAAGGGAAATGCAAAACTAGGTAAACAAATCCAGCATTGAATGTAATGAAACACCTTTTCTGGTGGGTGTCTTGATGGTTCCCTGAGCTACCCTCTTGGAACCTTCCAAACCCTGGGTACCACACCAGGATCTAATAAATTCCAACCTCCCAACAGAGACCAAGACCAGAATTTGGCCCCCTGAAAAGGGGCATAGTAGAATCTGGAGATACAAGATCACCAGAATACTAAAAGGAAAAACCATCAGAAAGGTAGAGCACACCAAAACATGCAACTGCTTTTACAACTTTCGCAACCCTGATTTAAACTATGTGCACACTCGCGGTCTAGGTCCAAACACTAGTTAACACCACTCCCTTCTGCCCTTGCTACCAGATGGAGGCAGTGACAACAAAAAGTGTCCCAACCAGCCACCTTCCATCAGAGATGCATTTCATTACATTCAATACTGGAATTTTGGGAATTCTTCCCCAAGCCAACTCATAAAGGAGAATGAACAACAACAAAGTTTTACTATGGAGTGAGGGGGAAGAGAAACATACAGCCCCAGAGGGCTTCTGAATCAGGCAGCTGACCAAGCATTATACAAGTCTAACACTGACAAAGTACAGAGACATGAGCCTATTAGAGTGCAAGAAACCACAAGCCTCAGTATCCACTCAAGACGCAATAGAAAAGAAAGCAGTCATCACTGCAAACATATATTTATCAAGTGCCCAAGAATGTATGTTGACCTGGCTAAAGGTGATAACCCTGCAAACCACCTAACACAACTAATGATTCAATGATTCAAACCACCTAATAAAACTAATGATTCAACTAATGATTCAAACCTTCAATGATTCAGGAGTGCCAGGAAAAATCAGAGGTGCCAAACAGCCACAGGGCAACTGGGGAGTGAACCTGATGACCCCAGGAAAGATGGAATGGTCATCCCAGGAGAAACCAAGTGGTCTCATTGAAACACATGACCCAAGCACCACATATGCATCGATATCACAGACTTGTGATATCTGAGGAGGAGGAATGCACAACCTCCAGGTGGACCACCAGAATCTCCTGGCATAAAACAAAAGTAGAAGACAAGGCCAAGAATGCTGCCAAAGCAGCTAAAAAGTACACAACAGAAGAAAAAAAAAAAAAAAAAAAAAAAAAAAAAAAAAAAAAGAGTACCCCTATTAGCTAAGCAAGGATCCACATCAGACAGCTTAGAAGACCGACAGGCATTCCCTTATTAGGGAGAAACTATACCCACAGAACTCCCAGAAAAGAAGGAAATGGTTTGGGAAACAAGTGCACAATTTCCTCCACAACTAGGAAGGAAGGGGCAATCGTTGGAGAAAACCCTTTCTTTTTCTTCCTCCCAGCACGCCAAAGGAATAATTATGACTCATAAGGGCCTGGTGTAGCATGACAGGTGTGGAGTTAACTGGGCAGCTAGCTCACAAAGCCATTGAGTGAGAGAAAGCCCTCCCAAAAAACATGCTCTTAATACTCATGCAAATATAGTACCTGCAAAGATTCAGAAGTCAATAGGACATTACTATCCAAGCAGCCCAAGTGATAGCTTATACATTAACTCTGTGTTGTCTTCTCTATAAAGAGAACAAAATATTTACCCAATTTCCACTAAGCTATGAGCATTTCGGTTCCACAGGGACACTTGGATCTGGCCTGAAAAATCATACGAAATGGCACCATTGAGAATTAGCTCTGCATTTAAACCATTCTGCAATGGCACAGTCTGCAGGTGATCTTGTAGCAGTAGTGAACCCTGCAAGGACAAAAAATGTCATTAGGAATATTGCATAACGAAACCAAAGCCATCACAACAGTAGTACTTTTGATGAAACACAATTTCTTCTGTGCCAAAGTTCATAATTCAACTGAATTTAGATTTATTATATACAGTATATTCAACACTTGAGCCCCCAAACCAAATTCTAAATTTAAACAAGTTGAATTAGTACACTTACCTGAAGAGCAGTTGTTCTCTCCGAACCTGTTCCAGACCAAACGTGCCCCATTAGCTCACCCTGGCCAGAGAAAAATACAAATGGACGCAGCTGGGTATCCATGAGAGTTATCTCAATACCAGCATTGGCATCCTCTCCATCGTCCACAGCATCTTCACCACCAAACACACCAAGACCACCAGCAAAGATTCCAAACTATGGAATGCAAAATTAAACAAGATAATAGTAATGTAATTTCAATTAAAATTGTACTATATGACATGCCATGTTTCAAATATTTAATTAAAATTAGCAATGAAAATTTTAAAAATAGCCAGCTCATCACGTGAAAAGGAAAATCCATTCTACTTTACATTGAGCTATTTCAAGTTATCTTTAAAATGTTACCTATTAAATGAACTTTAAATGGGATTTCTGAAATAGGAATAAACATAAATCTTCTATACAGTTTTACCATTTCCTTACTTTTTATAGTCAAGATACAACAAAATAAAGATTAATTTAAATCCAACTTGCTTCCTAGTAAAAGAAAATGGCAAAGCTGCACTTCTTTGCAAACAATGCAGATGGAGCAGCAGCTATGGTGTACACAGATCATTAGAAGTACTGAAGTTAGGCGAATGGTTTGTGAAAATGAGTATGCAAACCTGTACTGTACTATATAGGTAACCCCATCCCTCTCATCTGCATGTTGTCCAGATAAAGCTATCCTGGAAAGCCACGAGTCCAAGGTCCATGAATCCAGTCTAAGTTTTCCTGTTCAGCCACATGAGGTAACTGCCTAGTTGATACTCGGTGGTGCTCAGGTGCCCTCTGCCTCCCTCGTCTTCCCCATCCCCCTCACCTTCCTTCTCCTGACCTTTCCTCTCTCTCCCCTCATCCTAAACTCTCCCCCCTCCCCTTCACCCTTACACTCATCCTCCCTACCCCTCAACCTTCCTCTTACCCTTCCCCTTGTCCCGTCTCTCAGGTTAACTTCTCCCCCATCCCCTTCTACTCCAATCATCCCCTTCCCCCAGCTTAACCCCTCTTCCTTTCATAAAAAACCAGCGTTGAAGGTAATGAAACGCCATTTTCTGGGTGAGACCCAGAGACTCCCCAGAGCTTATCCAGGCTGATATGCTTATGTCAGACTTTGGCATCAGTCATGTGTATGGAGTTCTGTGGGCCTACCGGGGACACAAGCCAGAACCTGGCCCCCTCAGAGAGGCAGGGGGAGCAATGGCCTATAGAAACTCCCATGCGGTTGGAAGCATTCTATGTCTGCCTTCGACTAGGTCAGGCACCCAGAAAGGTAACCGTCCTAAAACAAACCCCTATTCTGGTGAAAATTGCTACCAAAAGCCGAACAAGTGGATAGAACTAAGAAACTAGCAAACAAGCATGACGTCACACATCGCCGTGCCGCTGTCTGTGCAGCTCCCCTCTCCCTAGGAGGGGGAAAGGGGAACCCCAGACCCCCACCCGGCTATCCACCCTTCAGTTTTGAGGCTGGATGTCAAAACACGTGAAAAACCCGCCGACCAGGGGAAGGGGGAGGGATGCAGCGGAGCCTCCGGGAGGCAGTCGCTGCTTACTCCTCAATGTGAAGTCGAGACAACTGGCTGCAACTGCTGACCCAAGGCAACACAAGCCCCTACTAGGCCCAGGAATGTTCACGAGATATCGAGCAGCCAGGACCCTGTTCGACCGCAAAAATCCCCGCGCCCGAATGTCAGCCCAGGACACTTTGCCAAAAACTGCAGCAAGAGCAGCGAACTTGGAAACGTCATGGGCACGGGGATAGACCACAGGCTGGCTAGCCGTAACAACCCTGCAGATAACCTGGGAGACCCGCACCCACGAACAGGGAAGAAAGGAAACCGGAGCAACCCAAAGTGTGTCCCCAGACACCGAGGCCAAGGCACAATAAACGGTGGAGGGCCGCAATCGGACATAAAAATGATGCACCCCCAGCCCGACCAACCAAGCACCCATAACCGAAGGATCCCTCCGGAAAGTAGCGGTCTCAATCACCGCCAGAAAAGAAGGAGACGGCTGTAGACAAACAACCTAACGCCATGACTGAAGGAGCAGAAAACCCCTGCGCCGGAGGAGAGCATGAAGCCCACCGACTCGACCCCTAGAGGTTAATGCCAACAGTAAAAGAGCCTCCGAAAAACACTCCTGAACCAAAGGGGTCACAACAAACCATGGAGAAGAAAAGAAAGAGAGAGCACTCTGTCCAAAGACCAGGACGGCTCAGGCGGTGCATGAGCAGACCGGAGGTGAATAACGCACGAGACAGCTTGCAAAACGGCACAGACGTAACACCAATACTGAAAGAACGCTGAAGCGGCTCCTCCAGCGCCGTAGGATACGAGGCGACAGTATGGGGTAAGACGATGGCCCTAAACCTCTACAAGAGAAACCTCTAGAAGAGAAGAACAAGACCATGCCAGAAAACACAGCTACCGAAGAAGGGACAGAAGGAAAAGAAAGGACCGCCAAAAATCCCACACTGCTGTCAAGAAGAAGCACGCAGGTGGGACACCATGGATGAAAACACCCGGCCACCAACAGAAGGCAAGAGACTTGAGGCAGAACCGAACCAGCCCTGTCACAGGCCAATTGATCCTAGGAAGCGGCAGAGCCGCAGGAAGATCTCAGGTGCGACCACGGAGCCAGCAGAACCAGAAACCCCAAGATGGCAAAGGAGGAGATGGAACGTCTGCCGTACAGAAAAACATCCCAATCCCAGCGAGCCTGCCAGGAGAGCGGAGATGACAGCTCCGATGCAAGACTCCAGAGAAGGGTCACCCCGAGACCGTAAAATGCCAACAGGCAGGGAAGCCTGGAAACCAGAACCCAAACTTGGCAAGAGGAAAGCCAAAAGGCACAAATAAACCCACAACAATGTGTAGTAAACGGAATGAAAGGTGCAAAGGTATGCCACCAGACCAGAACCCGAACCAAGGAGTACGAGCAAGGAGGACAAGATCAACACATTTAAGATTCTCAAAGGAAGTGATAGGGTAGAGAAAGACCGACTACGGGACCCCAGGGGCACACGCACCAGGGGACACTGGTGGAAGGAGAGTCCAATGAGCCAGAGAAACGTTGGAAAGAAGGAGCAGTGGCAGAGTAGGAGACAAACGGAACACGTGAGGAAGCGATGTGGTGGAGGATGACACCACACACAGCTTCAAGCAGAAACATGATAGAGCCCAGCAGGCATAGGAACCCCGCACATCAGTGAAAGACAGGTGAGAAGCGGGACCAAAAAACTAGAGCTCAAATCCCGCAAACACAACTAGGGAAGTACAACAGGGAAGCACAGAGAAACCAATGTATATGGAAGAGCTAAGCCAGGCACTGCAAGACGGGCAAGGAATGAGTGACTCAGATAAGACCACAAAAAATGGGGTCGTGACCCCGCCTTGCAATAATTAACCCAAATGAACAAGGAAGGACCCTGGAAGAAGCACGGAAGGGTCAAACAAAACTCCACAACCAATCCCCAACACAACCACAGTAAGAAAACTGCAGCTAAATGTCACGACATAACATCCTAACACAGTAACATTCACCCCATAACATACACCCCCACCACTGTACCCCGTAACCTGGTGGAGGTGGGGCCCCGTGCCAGACTCAAGCATGGGTTGGACATGAATAAGAGTGGGACTGGATGGGTAGAAATAGGAGCTGCCTCATAAGTCCCAAAAGGCCTGTTGCAGTCACCTGTGTTCCGATGTTCATATACCCGTAGCCAAAACCCCGAACCAGCACCCCGCTGAAAGAGACGCCAGACCGCAGAAACTCACTTGCAGAAAGCAGGCATGAAGAAGATGTTAGGAGCACCGCCAGTGGAAGAAGGCAAAGCCGCACACGCAGAAGAGTAGGGAAGAGGCGAACGAGGAGCCCCACACCCATATGTAGGGAAAACCCGGCATCTTTTCCATGGCGGTAATCCAGAGCACCCCAGTAGCTATGGGGCACGGACTGGAGAATTGAGAGGAGCAAGAGGCGAAGCACTCGAGAGAAAAGAACGCAGAACACTGGCACACGTGCACACCGCCCAAACCAAAACAAACTACCACGGCGCATGCGCAGGCAGGGATGCCAGATGTGGGTTGCGCGAAGTCGCGAGCTGATGAAAGAAAACACGAAATTTACCAGAAAACTATAAAATATAGTGTCGTTAACGATTGAATCCATTTTCAGAGAGGAAAAAACCAGCGTTGAATGTAATGAAACGCCATTTTCTGGGTGAGCCCCGGAGGCTCCCTGGAGCTTATCGGGCTAATGTATGTTATGTTAGACCGGGACATTAGCTAAGGAGTTCAGACCTACCAGGGACCAGCGCCAGAACCTGGCCCCTTCAGAGAGGTTTCAGGGAGCAATGGCCCTGGAAAACCCCATATGGTTGGGGGTTTTCCTTATCTGCCATCGACCGGGGTTAGGCACCCAGAAAGGTAGGCGTAACAAAACAAACCCCACATGGTAAGAAACTACAACAAAAACCGAACAGAGAGGTAGAAAACTCCCTACAATCCCAAGGAAACAAGCAAACAAGCAAACATCACACTTTACTGCCGCGCCGATCGTCCGCGCAGCCCTCCCCACCCCGGGAGGGGGAGGGGGGAGCCCCGGACCTACCGCGCCGGCTGCCAAGCTCCAGTTCGGAAGCTAAGCTTCAACCAACGCGAAAAAACCGCCGACCGGTGGGAGGGAGGGTTTCCAGGGAGCCTCCGGGGCTCACCCAGAAAATGGCGTTTCATTACATTCAACGCTGGTTTTCTGTGGGGAGCCCCTACGGCTCCCTGGAGCTTCATACCCAAAGAGAAGGAAAAGAAAGGGCTAACCCGGGAGGCGGCCGCCACAAACTCTGCAACGCAAAGCCAAGACAACCGGTCGCAAACCTGCGACCCAAGGCAACAAGAACGCCCAAGAACAGACGCACATATGGATGGGCGGCCAAAAACCTGTGCGACCCACAATTCCCTGCGCCCGAAATGAGCCCGAGACGTCACCAACACAGCAGCAATTGCTGCAAACGTCTGAACAGCACGGGCGCAAAGACAGACCGCAGGAAGAAGGAAAACACTGCGGACGACCCGGGAGACCCGAGCCCTGAAAACAGGGAACGAAGGAACCGGATCAACCACAGCGCATCCCCAGGCACGGTACGCCGGCAACAGCAAAAAGCACAA